ATTTAAGTACAAACAAAATTCTAAAAAATTTTGCAGATTTAAAATTGAGGACACTGTACTTTCTAGCGTAGAGCGTATAATCCAGAAACAAAGGCTTTCTTTTCAACCACGCCCACCAAATGTTTAAAATTTCATTCAGAAAAATTATTTAATACCTCCCAGATTTAAGGTGACTCTCTTCTCTTATTTTAACTCAGCATCACTGCTGAACCGCACAGACACGTTTAAAAAAGTTCTTACTAACTTTTAACTTAGTGCTTCGTGGGTAAAGAAGTATTAAACGTAAACTGATTTACTGTAAAAGGGTTCAATCGGTAACTTCAGCAAGAAGCTTCATGCTTTACGAAATCTCACAGGTGTTCTTTGCTAAAGAGAATTGCAGGCAATTTACAATAAAATTGCTAACTTGTGACGGATTTACGTTTTTAGGCCATTATTAATCCAATAAAATTAACCACTCGGGTTTAAGTCTTTCAGCAATAAGTCATGATTATTTCCAACTCACATTTCTATAGTTAACGGAAAACATGGCTGGCAAAAAGAGGTAGATTGAAGGACACAATATTGACGGAATCACATCGATCGGTCAGCATCCTTTAAAATAACAGGCAAAGTCTGCAGGCAAGTTAAAAATTGAAATTATCCCCATAATGATCACGCTTTAACTATATATTCCCACACGGCAAATTCCCAAAAATGTTGTGGTATTTACACTCGGAATCCTGGCGGGGTAGGAGTTCCCTAAAGCCGGACTACCGTGGAAGTCTGTTTCACCGTAGTTAAAGTAGGCAAAATTTGTATATGACCTGACCCATTATTTACCCTGCGAGCAGAGGCCTTTGTATCCAGTTCCTAGATGAGGAAAGGACCTCTCTTCCTCTTCAATCGAAGGGCCTCTGCTCGCCGGATACCAGTTATGTTTCTAAATTCTAAACTGTCGTGCACGCAGTAACTTTCACAAGGCTTTGGAACATGGAGCCCAAAAATTGAGGCAACTACGGCTAGACTGTTTGGTTTTTAGATCAAGACACAATAAAAGTGAATTTGTGAAACTCCTACTAAACGATATTCTGCCACTGATTTAGGGAGGGTTTTCGACACGGTAGCCGTGAACACATCCCCCCCCCCCCCTTTTTTATATCCACTGGGTATCCTAAAAAATAAAGAAGCGTGCTCACCCTGAGGAAAAATTTAAATTTTAAGTTATTGGCAAAGGGACCTTACTTGAAACACAAACAGACCCAATAATCTTTTTTTAATCCTTTAAA